CGCGCCGCCTGCAACGCCGTTCGCCGCCACACCGGTCACCACCACCGCGCCGCCTGCAACGCCGTTCGCCGCCACACCGGTCACCACCACCGTGCCGTCTGCAACGCCGTTCGCCGCCACGCCGTTCACCACCACCGCGCCGCCTGCAACGCCGTTCGCCGCCGCGCCACCGTTCACCACCACCGCGCCGCCTCCAACGCCGTTCGTCGCCGGGCCACCGCCTGCTCCGTCAGTAACACCGTCTCCCGCCGCCGTGCCGCCCGGTGCCGCGCCATCGACCAACATGCCGCCGCTCACCACGAGGACCATCCGTGAACTGGACGTGGGACGCGGGGACATGAGGGTTTCTGGGCGCACGAGGGCAGCCGCTAAGGACCAAGGGGGGGGGCGGGTTTCGTCAATGCCGCCCCTCTCTGCCAGGGCCAATCGAGAGCTGGACTTGGGACGAGAGACGCGGGTGCCGGGGAGGTTGAGGGATCGGAGGGTGCGTTTTCCAGGATGAAGGGGACGAGCGGTGGACGACACATGGCGGGAGCGGCGACGCTCCCGCCCACCGCTTCGGACTTGTTTCCCTGCAGGACAAGACAACGCTCCTGTCAACCCTCACCACTCGCAGCGTCGTCGATGGGGGGAGAAAGGAGATCCCGAGTTCAGCCAGAGGACATGGTGGAGCGGAGCTGGGGGGGGAAGAGCGGGGGGGCACGAAAACAGAAGGACTGCGTGAAGAAGTCCCATTTGCGTGCGCCACCTTACTTGCCTCCCGCGAGGACATTGATCGCGCGATGAGGGATTTAGATCCCCCGGAAGTGGCACCGGACTTGCCCCAATGCTATGCTAGTGACTTGCGCGTCCCCAAAACGTATAGGGAGGCTGTGTCCTCTGAGCATGCTGACTTGTGGATGGCATCTGTAGAGAGGGAGTTCAGAGGTCTGATCGAGGCTGGTACCTTTGAGGAAGTATTGTAGCAACCAGAGAGTGTTATCAAGGCGAAGTGGGTATTTGATTGGAAGTCTGATGAATACGGATGGCCAACTAGTGTGAAATCACGGCTAGTAGCGAGAGGAGATATGCAGCGAGTACATGTAGATTGTGGAGAGACGTATGCACCGACTGTAGCGGTTTCTAGCGTTCGTTTATTGGCAACGATGGCGTGTGAGCAAAATCTTTCTCTCCGTCATTTTGACATCAAGCAAGCATTTGTCCAGTCGGATTTGGATGAGGGATGTTTTCATGCGTCTGCCAGAGGGGTGTGGTAGATTGTCAGGTATGATAGTGAAGTTGAACAAGAGTCTGTATGGCCTTAAGCAGGCATCGAGGAAATGGCATTCACACTTGGCGAGGTGTTTGGTTTGTTTGGGTTTTATTCAATGCATGGCGGATACGTGTGTGTTTCGATTGATTGAGGAGGGAAGAGTGGTAGTAACTCTGGTGGTACATGTAGATGATATATTTTCGATAGGAGAGGAGGAGAGATGTGACCAGTTTGGCAGAGATCTCAACACCATGGTACCGGTGAAGAATCTTGGGGATTTGAGGTGGTATTCAGGATGCTTTTATGAGAGAGATTGGGATGCAGGGACTTTGAAGATATCGCAGCAGACGTACGCTGAAGAGTTGGGGATGGAGTTTGGGGTAGAGTACGGGAAGGAAATTCCTCTTCCTGTAGGGTTGAAGCTTTCAGAGTTTGACCAAGATGAAGAAGTGGTATCAAGGCCTTTTCGTGAGCTGATAGGATCATTGATGTGGCTGGCAACGCAAACGAGGCCAGATATCGCGAACGCAGTGAGAGCGGTAGCACGTTACTGTGCTTCTCCCAAAGAGATTCATTGGAGAGCAGGTCTTGGTATTTTGGGGTATGTGGTAAGGACTAGTGACTTGGGTATTACATTCAGGAGGGGTAGTGTAGCAGGGTTGAGCATGGAGGTGTTCGCAGACGCAGACTATGCAAGTAAGGCTGCCGATAGGAGGTCTGTGTCAGGAGGGTTGGTGATGTGTGGGGGGGGATGTATTTCTTGGTTTTCAAGGACGCAGAAGTGCGTTACGTTAAGCACGACAGAGGCGGATTATGTCTCCCTTGCGGATGTGATGAAGGAAGTGTTGTTTCTGAGGCAAGTATGGCGTTTCATGTTGCCAGAAGCCGATATGCCGTGTATTCCGGTGTTCGAGGATAACCGGGGGGCTATTCACTTGGCGCAGAACCCGATTAGCAACAGTAACTCGAAGCACATCGACGCAAGGCACCACTTTATCAGGGATTTGGTATGCAGGAAGGAGATTTCGATTTTTCACGTGGAATCGGCGTATCAACATGCTGACTTCCTCACGAAGGCACTTAACGTGGGAAATTTCGAGTTTCATCGTAACTTCGTAATGAGTGTGGATTAATATTTTGATGTTTGGGTTTATTTTGTGTGTGATCAAACAACTAGGGTGGCAACATTTTGCATTTTTGCCTATGGATTTTCTCAATGGATGGTGTTCTAGGCTGGGGGACAATTAGTTCACTGAAGCTCGAAGAAGTATATCTGATATGACCGGGGATGGGAATTGATGTCTAGCCAGTGAGGCTATTGTTCTGGAGTTGAGTTGAGTTTCTGAGTTTATTTTCTTGTGTTTTGGAGTTCTTGAGGATCGAAAAAGACATGGCATGGTCACAAGCAGGGGGGCTGATAGATATACTTGTAGCAATGCCAAGTGGATGTAGGATTATGTGGTACGTGGAATGTATTTCCAGGGTGTGCAAGGTACCCCTGTTGTATACTGCGTCGCCCCCTCATGGTGGTGCGTGCACGCGTGCGTGCAGTCCATGTCTGTTCATGTGTTCATGTGTTCATGTGTTCATGTGTTCATGTGTTCATGTGTTCATGTGAGTCCATGTTTTTCATGTGAAGAAGAAGTCTATACAACAAACCCAGCGCATCTTTCCTCCTTGGTGCGAGTTCGCCGAGTTGCCGACACCCTATTCAACACACGTCTTGCGACAAGCTACCCCCAGTTCGGATCATCCTAACAAACAGAATCTAAGGAAAGAAACTGAGGATAAGGAGGGTCTAGAAGTGTACGGAATGTTGAAAGAAGGAATAGGGTTCAAGGATTACCTACATGGACCAATGGATGCAGGGACAAAGCTTAAGGTCAAAATCAGGACCGGGGACATAGGCCTTGGAGAACGTCGACGAAGACATAGTACGGTAGACGACGAAGACGACAAGTTCAAATGTGATTGCGGCAAGACCGTGTTCATGTAGTCGCGGAATGTCCGTGGTACGAAGAGGAGAGGGAAGTGTACATGACTGAGCTGGGAAAAATACAAGGGACGTACAGGGAGATGTTTGAGGCATGGAATAGAGAGGAGAGGACGGTAGCTGTACTGGGGAGTAGGAAGTGGTTTGAAAAGGCGGGATATCGTTAGGATAGACAGACTAGGGAAGACATTTTTGAGCCACCTTTGGCAAAGTAAGAAGGAACCAGTGGCCATCGGTGATCGGTCCTGTGGGGACAATGCTCCGTCCTCTCGAGGACGCGTGGGCCAATGGTTTAACCGCTAAGGCATGCAAAACATAACAGTACCCCCCCCCCCGTCCCCTCGTGTTTGCGATCGGGGTCGGGTTTTCGTCGATTGGCAACGACGATGTAAAACAAGTCAATTCACTTCGTGAGCTCGGCAACCAGGTTACAGCTTTTTTGTTTTTACCTCGGTTTTTTTTGCGGCTACCATAATGGTGGTCGAGTAGATCATGTTGCGCGGGGTCGAGAACCCTCACTCCGCGCAAGAGGGATGATCGCACCACGTTGTGTTAAAATGGCCGAAGCATCCTCGAGGCAGTTACACAGTGCTTACAACTGTCTCTGGAAGTGAAAGCACCAGAAAATAAATTAACTCATACGCAGCTGTCATCCGTACGCAAGGAAGTAAGCACAAGATGCCGAACACCCTTAGCAGGATGCAGCTCACCCTTCATGCGACTCGCCAAATACCTCACGGCGCTTCGCGCTTGGTGATGTGAGAGCCTGGTCCGGTGAGAACCCGGCGTGCTCCGTCCCGGCTTTGTAGGGATGCGAGGTCAATGGTCTAGCGACTACGTCATGCACGACTATGAGTACATTCCCATCTCCTAATCCTCGTAGCAGTCGGCATCCTACACGCGGCTCTGCTCTATTAGACGCTCTATCTGCAAAATTGTTGGACAGTCTACGTAGGGCGCAGCGCAAAGTTCTGGAACCGTTCTCATCTTCGTAGCGCCCACTGTGCAGCAAGGGTGCCGGCGGCTTCAACACCCGATATGGATGTAGACGGGCGTGTCTCAGCACTGGTTACTGACAGGAAATAGGAGCGAGCTGACGGGTACTGCAGTAATTGTGGGGAAGAGGCCCCGGCGTTTTCGTAAAACCGGCGTTTCTCAGTTGTTCTGCTTGTGTTCTATGTGCGGTGCCATTTTTCCTTTTGCTGTGAGCACGCAGCGCAAGATAGCAGGGGCGGGAGCAACATTACCCAACAAGCAGAGAGAAACTTAGCGCACCAGACTCAGCAACTAGATGTATTCGCTGTTGATGTTGGTCTATTTGAGAGCTCCTCGTGTTGGGTCGCGCTAATGTACGGTGAACGAAAGGGCGAACGAACAGGTCACAGCTGTAGAACAACGAGTATACGTCTGAATGTAAGCGATCCGAGAAAGTGGCGGCATGCTAGGGACTACAAGCAAATGATGAGGTTCGATGTCTTCGCGCTATCCGTCCCCTGGCCTCCATCCCATGTCTCCTCTTCCAGAGGGACGCAGGTCACAACCTGCCCCTGTAGAGAGTGACCCTGACACGTACGCTAGAAGAACCCAATGCAGTACATGCTATTTTTTATAGTACCTGGCTACGCTTGGTGGCGTCGATTCCTCTGTCCAGTCCTTCAAATCTTGATTTTTCTCGCTATCCCTTCATCCAACCCATTCCAGGTCGTGAGCACGGCAGTCGCGTGGACGAGTCTGGGCTTTTCTTCTGACCTTTTGATGATCGGTTCGGACGCCGTCATCGGCCTGCCTGACGAGTCTACCGTTGAGGAGTACGACTTGACTTCCCAGGCATGAAAAGGGCGTACGCCCTAACCTTACGGGTACTGCCGAGTGACAATCGTTAGGTCGTAACTCCGGTGCTCGAGAGTGACGCGCCATGGACACTACTTCGTACCTCACGTTGTTCTGGCTTGTTGAACTGCTGCTGCGCTTCTTACCCGCCTTCTGATGAAAAGCTTCGATGTCGTATTCGACATTTGGTTGTGCGACTGCTTGTTATATGCCCGGAGACATTGCCTAGAGCGAACCACTTCCATTTCTTTGTACGCCGTTGTTGATGGCATGCATAACACCCGCCGAGGGATGTCACGAAAGGTGACGTTCCTCGCGATGTTCCTGTGGGTGTTGGCCTCTCCCTTTGGGCGGCAAACGTTCTCCGTAGTAGAGCAAAAACCCCTCTCCTCTCCCTACCCGTCGGACTCGCCTTCGTCTTTTGCCTTGTTCAACGCACGGCAACCTTTGTCGGCGCATCGCAACCCTTTGGCTGCAACATCCAGACGACCGCGAGAGTGTTTTCCTCCGCAACCCAAGATATCACGGGCGGCTTGGTGAGCCAAGACGCGTCCGGCACAACGCTCTCCTTCACCAGGCCCCTGGCCCCCACGAACAAGCAGGCCATCTCGGGAACTCCCGGGGACGAGACCATATTCCTCTTCGCCTTCGGGGCGGACAACGAGCTCGGGTACCACGGACTGCCCCCCAACCGGGGGTCCTTGGTCTTGGATCTCTTCTGCGGGGACGGTGGCGACGGCAGCGACGATGTGACGGTCGTCGGAACGCCTGCCCCGACCCTCGGCGGAACTCCCGCCGCTTCGGCAGCCTCCTCTACGGCACCGATCGTGGCCGACACGCCAACGCCAGCGCTCACGAATGCTCCAACCATAGTGGAATTGGAAATCCCCCCCCCTTCGGCACCCTCTACAGCACCCACCGCCCTTCTCACCTTATCTCCACTTCTTGATGGGACGACAGCACCGGCGACGATCGCCTCATCTGGTCGAGGAGGTCAGAATACATGTGACGGAAATTGAATCAGAAACCTAGATGTTGATATTGTCCTCCTGTATCAAGATGAAATTTTGTCGCGAACAGTGCCTGTTTGTTATATGTGTCTATCCCATCGACATATTTGCGAAGCGTCACACCAACGTTTCGAAGCGAGAAGGGTAGATTTATGTTCTCGACTCTCCTTCCACTTGCCTGCCAGGTTTCGCCTTTCCGTTTGTTTCCAAGCACCTTTTGAAGCAAATAATTCCGATATGATATCAGGACGTCGCACAGTCTGCAGGAACAGATCAAACGAATGCTGCGTATTGGAACAACTATTTGCACAAATCTCGACACGATTGTGTACACGGTAAGGCGCGGATAGCTCCTCTGACCAATTTTCCGCGATGGTGTCATCCCTCCGTGATACTTCTGGTCGTTCGGTGTTTTCTCTCAACCAGATTCAGATTCAGCAACAGTTGGTCTTGTAGCCGGTGTGTTGGGGGTCGGGTTGGTCGTTGGGGCGATCGGGGCGGTAGTGGTGCTGTTCAAGACTGGCCGCCTGAAGTCTTGCCGACATGGCACGCCAAACGGACCATCACCAGGGATGGGATCGATACCCGCTGCTGCACCCTCTGCGACGAGCAGTGCAATGGAGGGGATTCAGCTTCCGCCCGCGATACAATACCCTGAGGTACTACATCCGTAGCACATGGCACACGCCTATGCCACCAACCGACACCACGGCAGAGTATTGGGACGTGTAGGGAATCCTCTTCTTGAAACAGACTTCCATTCACCCGCTTTCGTACGTAGCAAAGGGCACAAGGCACTTGGGCACGGCTCCGGGTCGGACTACGTTCACGATGCCACGTAACTGCGAAACGACAACGTCTTTCAACTGCTGATGAGCACCGCTTTCGGGCTGTCGTGTTGATGCGATCGTCCTGTGTACTTCACCACGTCAGGTCAGAGTTTGCTCTTTTGACACCTACAATAGACCAGTGTTAAGTAGCTTAGGTCGTCATCATGAGCGGGAACATGTCGCCAAGGTCATGTCGGCCCATCCCCTTGATAGTGGTCATTTTGTGGTGAGATTGACTGTGGTGTCTGTGACTCCGATGAACACTGGGAGACATTGAATGCCGTTGTTGCAATGGTTTCAAACGACAATGGCTCTCTCTTTGGACACCGCTCCGAAGATCTCGAGCCGATCCCACACAAGCGTCGAATGAGAATGCTGGTCGTTGGTTTATCCCTACAGGTCTTCTGTTGGGTTTGTAAATAAATCTGGCTGCCACAAAAACACCCGCAGTGGATGATGCCATGGTCCTGCCTTCTGCAGAGTTAGAATTTCTCGAGTGCGTCGACTGTTACACGCGTGCCGGTTGGGCACGGGAACGGTGGCATGGCCCAAACGACGGTCGGTTCTTCCGGATGATTTATTTGACGGAGTGCTATATCTCTCCCGTCGCCGACCATATCTCTCGGAAATTCATGAGCTCGCAGACCTAGGACACCTCTTGTATCATGGATGTGCATGAAATATTTCATGATGACAGGCCGTGGACCGCTTCACAGACGTCCACGTGATACTCCAATGAAGCCAAAACGATGGACATATGAGACGGAAATGTGTTGGACAAACGAAATTCGTTAACCCAATCCCTGCCCGTATCCACCATTTCGTGGGCATCCGTGAAAGTCCGTGAATATCCATCAAATAGGTCGTGGCAAGTGCATGGAATTCCATGAAAAGGTTTTTGGGCGCCTGTGCCATGTAATGTGATGTTTCTCTCTATTCAATCACTTCCTGGGCCGTGTGGGCCTAGTCCGACCACAGATGCAGGTTGTAGCTGCTTCTCTTGCTCTCCTTGATTTAGCTTTCTTTTTCACCGTGCATGTACATCATGCAGCCCGTCCAAGACACACCAGACCTAACTGCGCACTGAAGAGAATTGCACACAACTCGGAATTTCTCCGGCATCTTGCCTGACGTTATAACGCAACGTCTGTGTTAACGGCAAATATCAGCACCAATTCACGGCTATTTCCAAATACCATAACTTTAAACGTTTCATGAGCGTCCGTGAACTATTTAACGGTTCTCCATGACATGTTTCGTGGACATCCGTGGTACATGTCAAGCCGTTCATGGGTGCGTGTTCATGAAATATTTCATCGACGCCCGTGACACTAAACAATCGTTTGGAAATCTCTAACATTTCATGTCGGTGTCAACGAGCTTTCACGAACGAATGCCCCCGGCGGAACGGCCAGTCTATTTGCGACCGGCGGCGAGTCGACCGCCGACTCAAGGTGTGCTACTCCCAAGCCGAAGGGGTGGAGCCCATCCTGTACCCGTCGGGTTCCCCACGTGGACCCTCGGGGCTGGACACTTGGCCAATCTCGACGGCGTCCACGACCAGTTCGCCGCGCGCTGAATTCGGTGGGGCAACGGGATCGTATGGATCGCCCCCTGTCCCACGCCCAAGCGCTCATCCTGTCTGAATGCGAGGAAACGGTCAAAGCCACGTTGCCCAAGCTGAGGCTGGCTGTTTTTTTCTGGATCTATCATGCGCGTGGCGAACGACCGCCTACTACCTGAGCTCTTCTTGACGGGAGCGATACAATATGGGCCAGGAGGGCAACGGTATATTCCCGGGAGGACAGAAGAGAGACTGGACGGCCCACCTAGGCGAGGACCTTGAAGGGTGCGGCATGGAAGAAGAGAAGGAGGGAGGAGAGTGGAAAGTGAACGCCAAAAACCAGAACGAAGATGAATGGCATCGTATGCCAAGGTCGCGGAAGGGACATTCCGGTTCATGGTGAAAGGGCACGTAGAGGCAGATGCATCGGCGGAACGCCGTCAGCAGGGGGAGTAGGGGAGGCGAAGGGGTCGAAGACGCGGCGAAAATAACTGTTGTCATCACGAAAAGGAACAGAAGAAACGGGGACCATTAGGGTATAGAGGCAAGAAACCGAGACGACACGGGGTTTACTCGAACTCATTCGACGAAATTGACATTTTGACGACTAAGACCACTCACCCATCCATGAAAACAACAGCATGCATGTCACACTGCCCCCCATCCCTCTCCCAATTTCCACCGCCTACCCCCAACTCACCCTCCCCCGCAGTACAAAGGACAAAGCTCCAAGACCCTAACACTCCAACCCTTTGTCTTCTTCGATTCACTACCAAGTAAACACTCCAACCTTTCTTTTCTTGGATACCAAGTAAGTAGGGTTCAAAGCACGAACCGCCTTTCGCCGTCGGGTATTGGCTTAACGCATCAAACAACCAAAGCATCTGAGCGTTCCAAACCCTAGGGTTACTTGGCTTGCCTCGCTACACGTTGGCCCTCTCGTGGATAGATATTTTTCGTAGATTCCATTCCACACAAACATACCGTTTGAGGAGGAGAGATGGCCCCTAGACCGATTTTCAATGTAAAAAATGCCTCACGACCAAGCTTGTTCCAACACCAATAGCGGTGGCGTTGGAAGCATCTCCTCGGCAACTTTCCGGTGACGTATCGGGCTCTTTCCGCAGCCACTTGGTTGTGCAACAATCGAGCTTTGAGAGCCGGTCTATGGGGGGTGCCATCTCTCGGCCTCTTACGGTGCCTCCAAGAACAGGACAGCACCACCGCGATGAGCTCATCATACGCACCAACAAGCCATTCTGAGCTGTATTTTGTTTTAAGAGCGGAGAAAAAAACTTGCAACGACCGCCCCTTTCCGCATCAACCACTAATGGCAATCACCACAAGAAGAAGGGCAAGGGGATCCCCCATCAACTGTGTAGCTCAGGCTGGGTGCGTCGAACATATACCGAAAGGCGGAAACCCGCGCCCAGAACAGACCGTACAAAAACTTTAAAAGTAAAAATTGCTGCCCCGGGTTCCAAACCCCCAAATTCCCTCGAGGACAACAAACTGGCTACAGTACAACGGGGGGGATATGCAACGCGTCCACCGGAACACAAATACTGTACAGGTCCAGTATACTTCATTTGCTGCAATATACGCAAAACGCTCAATAATTTATGTACCGTACTGTCGCAACATACAAAACAAGCCCAACAAAATTTGTTGCCGCATCTAAAACCGTTCATTTTCACATGTCACCAGCGAATGCGACCAATTCTTTTCAAAGACGTCAGCAAGTGAAGCTGTATTTTTGCTCTCGATCGTTTTCTATTCAAGAAGCAGCTGTAGCTGCGCGTGTGACGCATAACGCGCGCTACCCCAAAACATGTGTACTCTGCACGTAGCGGACAACATCGTGAAGTTTCTGCTGCCCAACCCCGCCTGTTTAAACGGAGCAGGGTGTACAGTTTTATCACTGAATCGCCAGCTGTCAAGTGAAGGGGAACTCCCTACCATATCGAAAAAACAGCTACAGAAGGGAGGGTAATTCTCTCAAAAAAATCAGCGTAACTTCCGGGATACTCTATCGCGCTCTGCAACAGGGACCTCTACTGAGGAAAATCTCCCACATTTCTGCCGTCTTCTTGCCGCGTAAAACTTCGCAGCGGGCCCAAACACATATCACAATCAGGTGGAGGCACATGACATGCAATACCCCACAAAACTGCAAAATACCAGAATGGAAACGACAGCTATCAAGGACCTATATGGTGGTGGTGTGGTGGTGGTTCGATGGACGTACTTCGTTAGCCCATCCCAGATCCCGGGTGTATCACACACGACACCTCGTCTTTATTCAGGAGGCAACACGCTGTAAATATTTCGATCCCTGCATGCAGCTCCTACACTCACTAACTACCCTCCGTGTTGTTGCGTCGCCAACGCGGCACACTTGAGCAGGTCCTGAAGCGTCTGAAGGTAACAACCCACGCGATTTCGCAGCCGCAGGGGCTATCGATGATTCTGCCGCTGCCGCTGCCGCCGCCATTGCCGACGCCTCCGCCGCCGCCGCTGCCGCTGTCGCTATCACCGTCGCCGCCGCCGACTCTATCACCACCGCCGCTGCCGCCGCCGCTGTTGTCACCGCCCAGGGTAGCGCGCGCCGCGGCCTCTCTGGTCCCCACCCTTCTCCCGCCAGTACTGCTCCACGGCCTCCCTCTGGAGCTGCTCGATCTCGTCAGTGTTTCGCCGCAGCTCGTCCCAGTCGAAGGAATCAACGTCCCCCTCGATCCCCTTGCTCTTAAAAAACGTCTCCTTTTCCTGTGGAAAAGTGGTTTGCCGAGTACAGGGTGTGGTAAATGGGACATTCTGAAAGTTGTTGGCCAATAACGTGCGAAGCCCAGAAAAGACATGTACCACAGGTCGCACAAGAAACGTGTACCAATTTTTCAATTCTCAACTACTCCAAGACGAAGAGGATGCCAAAATGAAATGAAGTGTTTCGGCAAACCCTCGACGAGACCGTTCAAACGCCGTCATTTTCAGCGCCGTCACTCTTTCTGTCGCAGAGTAAAAATCGAGTTTTGGAGTCGGTACAGGGTGTGTGGTATAGCATGCACCCCAACGGTATGTGAGCAATGTCGACAAGGAACGAAAAAAGGCCACGTCTCTCAGCCTGTACACTGGCCAAAGCTTACAAAGAGAACTTCTCCGACCGGTGCATGGAAGATGGTGCTTCACTCTCTTTTCGTCCCAAAGATCACGACATTGCTACACTTGGATCCCTTCGCAAGTTCTTGAGCCGAGGCAGAGCTGTCATGGTCTTTCCGCGATGTGAGTATCCGTCATTCACGCGGTGATGGAGGTTTCTAACCGACAAGGCAAAGGGTCGACATCGGGGCCTTGATGATGGTGGGAAAAATTGCCCTCGAATTATTGGGGCTCCGCTCCCTTTTCCCCCTTGTCTTGACTCACTCGTTCTCCGAACCTTGCTACAGTACCACCAGCCACACCCCGAACAAAGACGTAGAAATACCCATAAGACACCGTACAACCTCCCTCGTGAACAGTTTCGTCAAGGCCGCCGACCCCGACAGAGAGAAATCCCTCCACGAACGTGTCTTTCTCACGCAGAGTGTTTCTACGGCACCGACATCACGTTTGGGTATGGAGACGTTCTGTTGCACCCGGCTCACTGCCTTGCGATTTTCACGTTCCCGGAACATCATTACTCTAGACACCGCCCTCCGACTCCCCCCGTTTTCCACGACACAAGAAACCTCTCTCACACACTCCGCTCGCTTTTTTTTAGCACAGAATTGGGGCGAAGTTCCCAAGAATTCGCCGCCCTGCGTCTCGCCCGCCCCATATATCCCCGGTTTCGTTGTACCCGCCATTGTCTCAAGGCATGTAAATCTGCAGAGACGCGAAAATGTTTGGTTGAACCTATAATTGTCTGAAGGTATGTAAATCTGCCGACACGCAAAAATGTACCCTGTTTCCACCCACCCTCTCCCTGAAGGCATCCACCGCTGCTCCAAGCTTCCTGGTGAGTGCCCCTTCCCGTAATCCCGCCGTCCACCCCGTCCTTTGACGAACGGGAGCCGCCTCCCCCTCGACGCCGTACCGCTCCCCCTCATTGCTGACACTCTGTTTTGATTCTGCCGCTCCCCGCGCTGGGGTTGCCAATGAATCACCCCTCCCCTCACGACTGCTGCCGCCGTTGCTGCTGCTGCTGCTGCTTGTGCTGCCGGGGTAAGGGACAAAGTGCTGCGGTACCGAGGACGTCGGCGGCCGCGGCGAGGACACGGGTGACGCTCGTGTCGAGGGATGGGCGGACGGCGGTGGTGGGGGCGACCCTTTGAAGGGGAAGTCCGGCGAAAGCTTCGAGGGCCTCTTTGGGGGCGAGCCTTCGGGGATGGCGCGGCCGTACCGCGGCGTCGGCAGGGGTTTCCTGAATGTAGCGCAAAGGGGCCAGGGGAACAGGGGAGGGGCGTACTCACGTCTTGCATGCCAAACCATTGTGCGCGCGTCCTCGAGATGATGGAGCAATGTTCCCAGACGTCCGAACACCAACTTTGCCAAAGGTGGCTCAAAAATGTTTTCCCTACCCTATCTTTCCTGTCCGGTATTATTTTCCTGGGGGGGTGGTGACAGGAAAATGGGGAGACGGGGGGCGACTTCTTGAGGCACATTGTTCCGAGGGTCTCTTGGTTGAGGCGGCCCCACCCCTGGAGTTCTGAGAAGGCAAAGAAAGAGCGCTCTTGGGTAGATACATGCGAACCCCCCCCCGATCATGGCAAATACATCGAAACGAAGCCGAAGGTCACGGATCAGAGGTCGGAAGACAAAGCAAAAAGCACAAAACTCACAGGTTGAAAGGCCCGCACAGGACAAACAGAAAAAAAACTAATCCGCGCTCAGAAAGAAAACTTGAAGTGTAGTGCGGTCCCGCGAACCTCACCGCCCGATCCCACCCTGGTCACGCTTACCCCTACGCTGGGCCCTCATACACCCGGTAATACCCGCCGAATCAACCTCAGAGCCTTCGTGCACCACCTCGAGTGAACCTCAGGGCCTTCTCTAGCCACCTTAACCCACAGAGCGCCAACCTTATCTTATTTTCCTTGGGAGCTGCAGCCGCCGCCGAAGACCCGTCGCGGTGCCTCTGCCCCCTGCCGCCACCGCCGCCGCCGGACACGCTAGCCGCTACCCCGCCGCCGCTGCCATCGTCATCCACCGCTGCTTCCACCCGGTGCGGCACCGACGACCTTCCGTTGTTGCCGTAGGATGCTGGCTCGTTGTTGATGGTGGCACCGCTGGTTCCGGTGGCGGGGGGAGAGCTAGCAGACCCGAACGTGCGCAGGTTTTCGAACGGGTCGTAGGCGTCGTCGTTCTCTTGCCGCGGCGGCGGTGGCGGCTGGGGCGCGCCGTTGTTGGTCTTCCACTGCTGCTGCTGCTGCTGCTGTTGCTGCTGCCTGACGGACTGTTGCTGTTGCTGTCTCCACTGTGGCTGTTTGTCTTGCTCCTCCCGCCCCCCTCGCCGCTCTTCTTCTCCATCAGCTCGAGGGAAGGTCTCCTCCGGGGGGACGCGGCCGTACCGCGGAGCGGATGCCCCGGGTCGGTAGTTGACGCCGTCGTACGTCGGTCCCTGAGAAAACTTGGCCTCAACCGGCTCCGCACTCCGCTGCTTCTGCTGCTGCTGCTGCTTGTCTGGCCGCTGCTGCTGCGGCGGCTGCCGCTCTAGGACGACGGTGCCGAAACCGTTCAAGCCGCCGTTGCCGTTGATGGTGACGTCGCCGTTACTGCCGACGCCGCCCTGATCATCGTTTGTCGGCGACGCAGTCGTCCCCGTGGCGGAGAGGGAAGCACTAAATCCGGCCGCACCACCATCATCATCATCATCAGTAGTAGCAGTGGCAGCAGTAGCTCTAACACCAACAGCAGTCGCAGGAGCAGGAGCAGCAGTAGTAGCTGCAGCAGCAGCAGCAGAGGCCGAAGCGGCCGTGCCGTCGGCGAAGAGTGCGTCGGTGCTGAGTGGAGCAGCGACACCGCTTCCGTCCACCCTGCCGTCGCGGGTTTCGAGTACTTCGAAGGCGTCGTCGTTGTCGTTGGCCCCGCTCAGACTAGACAGGTGCTCCTGAGATGCCTGAAAGGCTCAAAAGCAAAACGGTCGCGACCGGCACGGGGGAAACAGAGACGATGAAAAAGGGAAGAGGAAAATATTAAAAGAGGGAATCATCATCGTCTGTCTCCCCGTACCATTTTCCGTTTTGGTTTCATTTCCAAAAAAGCAACGGTGATGGAAAGAGGGGATCATCATTGTCCCTTGCACCATTTTCCCTTTGGTTCTCTTTCCGACTAAAAAAAACAAAACAAGAGGTGGGTGGCGGAGGTTGAACCCGGGTTTCCTTGCACCATGATCAAACAGATGTCTCTTCGTCGACGCCACCATGAAAACAGGGAATCGTGTCCTCGGCGATAGGTGATGGTCGGGTAGATGGGGGCCATATTTCAACAGGGCCGCACAAAAGCTGAAACTCCACCACACCGAAGCCCGCACCTCCGCGACGGCCAAGGCCTGCTCCAGCTGTAAAAGACAATACCCCGCACCATATCCGCACGGTACTATCCCGTACCATACCCTGACCGCACAATATGGCCGAAACCCCACACCTCTGCGACAGCCACCGCCTCTTCCAGCCTCTCCCGCAGCCCGGAGATGGACAGGCCGTCGGCGGTGGCGGCGGCCTTCGACACCGTGTCTCCCGGCCTCAGCAACGCCTCCTCCGCGTCCTCTTCCAGCCGCCGCCGCGCGTCCAGCACGTTGGAGAGGAGCCTGGCGGCCCGCGCCTCCCCCGCACTGGCGTTCATGACGGACCTCCCGTTGAGCTCAGCTCGCTGAGGGGGAACGGAGGGCGGGGTGTGCTCATTTGTATTGTTCGCCTTAGCGGTTAGACCATTGACCAAAAGGGTAGAATAGTGTGTTTGTGTGTTTTTCCAACGCTGACCCTGCTTGTCCGCGTAGTTCGCTAGATGTTGACAAAGTTTTCCGCCCTTCACACCTCTATGTCGCTTGGGCATAATCAAGAGGCAACCCCAACAACAGCAAACTGGCATACACGTTGACTTGGGAATGCACAGAAAGGAGAGCTAAGTCTAGTGCGAACACTTTCATAAAAAGGAACTCTGTGCAGTGTGTTGAACTCTTTAACTACTTGTAGCTGTTCTTGGTCTTGGGCAGGGCTGAAACTATGTAATACCTTGTTGGATACATGATGGCACTCGTGGAACTGCGACACCGACCCAGAGGCAAACCTCCCGGGGGTAAACAAACCCACCTCCCGCTTGGCTTTCTCGAGGACGGCCAGCAAGCGCCCTTCCGACGCGGACAGCTGCCGGAACAGCATCTCCAACCCGGCTACCTCCACGTTTTTCCATGCCCTCTGGTACACCTCGGCGAGCTACGGGGAGAGATGGTAGACGGCCGAGCCCGTAACCGGAAGGGGGGGGGGGGGCGGGGGGGGGGGGGGG